CATTTATTGTGATACGTTCACCATTGTGATGCAAATAAACAAGACAAAGAAGGAGATCATTTGTCTCTTTTTCTTAAGTCTGTTCTATTTTATTTCTTCTTCCGCATCATCGCTATCCAAATCCATACTAACCCGCTGCCCTCGGTAATGCTTGTTTTTTCTGTGTGTGTGGTGACTAAGCGTCATGTGCGTTTGCATTGCCACATTTTACATGTCTATATGAGAAAAATGTGTGTGTGTGTGTGTGTGTGTACTTTTCAGAGTTAATTTGCATGTGTGTCTGTGCGTGTGTGTGTGTGTGTGTGACAGCCACACGCTGCAGTGGTGATTTATGGGGGTGTTGATCCGTTCCACAGATGGGGGGGGGGGGGGGGTGTGCAGGCCTCTGAAAAGATTGCCTCATTGCTTGTCACGCTGTTTCTAGCATACATACTGACTCTGCTGACCATGCAGATGGACCACCTTTGATCTCCCATGTTGACCTTTATCAGGAGGCAAAGCTTACTGGAGCCAGGCAAGCTGATCGTCACATGTTTTGTCCCAAGTTGTTGTAAACAAGAGATATGTTATCAAATGAGAATGGTATTTTTTTCCGGCTGCCCTGACAATGTTGAGTAAATGTGCTTCATTCACATTGTTGAAGGCACACTCATGAAACTGTCCATGACAACTCATCTGTCAGAGCTTCTGCTTTCCACTGCATGTCTCAGATGGTGAGGGTGTGTGCATCCTTTACCCCCTTCCCTCCCCTCACCCCCCAATCCTTGGCTACTATTGATTTCCTCTGTGTGTGACAGACCTGGGGCCTGGTGAGTAGAGGGGAGACATTTTCTAGGAAAAGAGCAGCGCCACCTTCTTCCCGACCTGCTGCTGCTCAATATTTAATGCCCTGCTGAGCCACTCCAGGGGGGATGAAAATGGAAAGCTCGGTTACTTTTAAATCATGGTCGTTGTGTTGTGATTTGTTTCACTCACGCCGATAAAGCTCTCGCAACCTGTAAGGAAAATGTGATTTGAGCTTGAATACCAAGAATGGGACGTGTCATTGACTGGAAATTATTTATTTAGCGATATGTCTTAGCACATCGACCTTTGAACGCGTTCATCCGTGTGAGTTAAAAATAGGTCAACCTCTTCTACTGCTACACAAGACAAAGAGTGAACTACGCTCATGAATAAGTCATTTTGTCCAATTGAGGTGAAAAAATGGCCTGAATTGTGTTCAGACTATACAAGACAAAGCAGAGCCTCCTGCTGAGTCATGAAGGACTGCAGGCCGATAACTTCAAACACTGCCAGGCAGCTGTGGCTCTGACCTTTCACCTCTTTCCTGTTGGTTGCTTGTCATATTGATCAACTATGAATAAAAGCTTGTGCTACTCTTGTATTTATTTCAATGTAAACTTAGCCATATATACCCTCTGTTAGCTGTAATGAGAAACACAACCAGGGATACATGTTATTCGCTGGCAAAGGCCTCACACTGTCCTTTAAACTAACACCATCGGTGAGATATAATGGGATTCTACAGATATCTTTATATATTTTTTGATTTTTTAAACTAATAATATAAACATTTCAAACAATTATGAGGAATACATCTTTGGAGTTTATATATCATTTTTATTGTCCAAAAATCTCATACAAAGACCAAAACCACGGATGAACTTATTAAGATATAAGTATTGACTGTGTAGCCAAACTCTGATATAGTCAGTACGTGACCGGTTGTTGTTGTCCAAAAACTAAAAAATGTAGCCACACTGTTGCACCAGGTGACACGTTCCTTCATTGCGATAAGCATGGTAGATCATTTTATTTTTTTAAGGTTATTTTTTGGCATTTTTCGCCTTTATTTGAGAGAGAGACGGGGGGTATGACAAACAACATGAGCTGTAATCACTCGGGTATCAAATCACTCGGGTATCAAGGCGCACATTTTTGTTTATTTTGGGTCAATCCCACTGTCTGTAAACACTCAATAGAGTACCAAATGATATTAATCAGATAACTGAAAATAGTCGACCACCAACTGCACAGTTTCCTCCTGTGTAACTAACATTTGTTGAAAGTTCTTAAAAACAATGAACATTTAAATGCAAAACAAAATGCTTGAGTTACGCAACTTATGATTTACAATTGAGCTTAGTGGTTTTAAAACTGATGGGGTCAGAAATCTAACACCCTGAAAAGAGCAAACTTTTTGTTTGCTGAACTACTCTGCATGCAGCTACAGACTGTGGAATGGGAAGTATGGATTGCCTTGTGTTATGGTGTCACAAGTCAGAAAAGCACACAATGCTGGCTGTCAGCAGCTTGAGTGCAAAAGTACTGGTGCCTTTTTAAACACCTCCTTTACTTTTACTTCATTAGAAATATATGTATGTTATGGAAGCCCATTTCCGCCACTGTGATGAAAAAATAAAGATCCTGTCAGTCATTATAATGAGAAACTTTCTCAAAATAATGACTTAGTACCTCAGATTTATGACTTAGAATCTCATAATTATTACATAGTATCTTATAATAATGACTTAGTACCTCATAAGATACTAAGTCATTATTTTAAGAAAGTTTCTCATTATGATGACTGACAGGATCTTCATTTTTTTTCATGGCATTGGGGGAAATGGGCTTCCATAGTATGTAGAGGCAACGTAGACAGAAAAAATAACAATGTGTTAAGTTGTAAATTTGTTGCAGGCACATGGTATATACATCTGCCTGCTGAGCTGACAGGAAGTCACAGTCCCAGTGTCAGAGTGTGCACTATACTGATCTATTGTCTTTAACAGAGAAAACCACAAGGTTTTGTTTTTTTTATCACTTAAAAGTACATTGAAATATGCTCAAACCTATATGCATGGAACAATATGGACACCATTAAAGAAAAAAAAGGTAGCCTGCAGGAAAACAGGAGAATTGCAACTTGCTCTGTCTATGTGTTATCCAGTTGTTATGATGACAATACACGATGCTAATGGCCTTGCTCAAAACCAAGCCTTTGCTAAAGCAAACAAGTTCGCTCCTTTCTGTATCTCCATGACTCATGTGCAGCCTGAGTGATATTATTTTGACGGAGCAGAAGTGCAAAACAGAGGTGGCCATGGAAAGTGACTATCCAATGAAAGAATAGGATATGGGTGTGTCTGACAAGTCCTGCTCTCTTCCTTCTGCCTGGTCAATTAATAACTTTTTTTCTGCACTCAGTCTTCCCGGGGAGGGAGAGAAGAGAAATAATTCACTGGAAGTTTCTATATAAAGATAAAACCGTCACATGGTGTAGGGCTTCAAAAAGACTTATGAAGGAAGATGTGTATGTGGTGCATGTAAATAACGAACAAGCATAACCCCTGCAGTATGAACATGAACTGAGCTCAGTGACGTTAAGTCATCTCAATTCCAGTAGTTGTCTAGTTTCTCACTTACATTTCTTTTTACATTAGTCTGAATGTTAATGATTGATTTGATATCACTCGTTGTGCATCATGCAATTGGGAGTCAGGTTTATCTGAGTGGTGAAAGTCGCTGATTAATGCTCTCCATTCACTCCTTAACTGTGGTTGATTTGAACAAGGTGCCTTTGCTCGTGTACACCTGCTCAACAGAAGTAGCTCCCAGGTGTGAACTTGTGCTACTAATGGTGAAACGGTTGAAAAAAAGTTATCAAAAGTCCTGGATAAACCTCACAGTGATGCAGCATTTCAGATACAAACTCTTAAACATTTCAGTCTTTTCTTTTCAGTTCAAATCTGCAGGGTTTAAAGTCTGTCTGTGTGTTCTACTACTTTCACAGTTAGTGCGCACAGATGAGAGGAGAAAGGGTAGGATTGTTTATTTAAAGGTTTTATTGTTTTATGTTTTAGCACTTGTTTCATGTCTCAGTGTAGGTACTGTATGTGATATGCTGGTTTCGGTTTTGTTCTTTTTATGTGAGCTCACCAAAGCAAAAACTATGCTGAAAGAGCAATAAAATGTAGAATTTTTAATAAGGTTAACAACTAACAGTGTGAACAAAACCAAATATATTTTCGTAAAAACAAGTTGCTCCCAAAAAGGCCCTATCCCACAATTCTTTACCAAGTTAGTGATACTTGGTGTAGTACACACAAGGATTTTACATTATGAAGATGTATCCCAGACTAGAATGATGGAAAACCCACAAAGAAAATGGTGAATGGAACCAACAATAACATCCCTGCTGCTCAATCTCTGGCAGACATTCTGGAGTGAAAGCTACGCTTAAAATGTAAACGTACACACATATATGGAAATACAGCTTCTCTAACACAGCGCTAAGGATGGCAGGCTCGGAGAGTCTCCCACATAAGGACTCTTCTTTAAGGAATATGAAATACTATCTATCCTTTTCAAAATGTAAGCTACTTACAGCATGATATCTCCCATTGTCCGGAGATATTTAAGCCATGTTTATTGAAGATCCAAAACTTCTCATCAGCATAATGAGTTGACTACTCAATGTTTTTACCTGTGATGAACTAGTGGCCTTTTGAGGGTGTTTTCCTGTCTTTCGGTGCTTGATGAGTGACCAAAATGACTGCAGAATTGCTGATTGTGTCCAGGTGCAAGTTTGCCCAGCTGATTAAAGTGGAGTAGCTATTACATGAATCTCAAATAAAGAGCTGGATGAAACCACATTGTGATAAATGATCAGTGGCTTCAGTGATCATCATATGTAAAAACTACTGTGGAATGTGTATTAAAATGTATATACTGTACCTTGTAAATCTCAGAGATTTACATCCGCCTGAAACTATGAAACTAACACAATTCTGATGTGCAGATTTAAATCTGTGTAAATGTGTATTTTGACTTGTTCAACCTCTAAAAAAAATCATATTATTCGTAAAACAATAACAACAATGGCAAGCTGTAACAAGTATTTCATGTCGTGGAGAACGAAATAGTCCGTCTAGCTTTTTTCCACGACATATTCATCCGCCGCGCAGTATATTAACGCGATGTAGGGCGAACAACGACGTAAGCGGAGTGATTTATTGGAGACTACACCCAAGCGCCTGTACGATTGCAACGGCTTTTTCTTCGTTTCCTAGACCAGAAGAAAGCCGAGACGTGACGGAGTCGGGGGGGGGGTTCTGCTTGTTGGAGGCCCGTTAAACCGCTGATAAATACAGCTTTCATCACCGCTTCTTCGTCGCTCAAGAGACGTTTGTGACCTAACTCGAACCCTACGTATTTTTTTTGCATCTTTGAACTAATCTCACAAACATGTCCTGGCAAAGCTACGTGGACAACCTGCTGGCTGATGGCAACTGCCAGGACGCGGCCATTGTTGGGTACACGGACGCCAAATACGTCTGGGCATCGAACGCCGGCGGTACCTTTGCCAATATGACGGTTAGTATGCTATGTGTGTCAGTATCTGTGGTGACACGGGAAGGAAAAAGTACATTTTCCATGCCGGTGCGTTTGTCTGCATAGCCGGGCCTTGTTGAATGGGGATAAGACGAGTGGTGTGTGTGTGGTACACATGGTATCCGTTGGTCACAATCCAGCTTCATTAGCACGTATGCACCGTTGCTTTTCAACCCGTCTTTGTAGTAGATTTACCATTTCTGGTAAATTAACCACACTCTGTGGTGTCAATGTTAACATTTTGTTTTTAGAAATCTCCACAAGACCAGCCGGAAATGACCAAAGCCAGTGCCGCGAACTCAAGCTAATGGGGCTAGCTAGCTAGCTAACGTTAGCTTAAACTAGCCCTGTGTGCTTGTGATGCCGGTCCGATAAGATGAGCACGTCGGACAAAGCAAACCTTTTTTTAATCTCGACCAGTGCCTAATAAATTAGGATATTTTGCTTTATAGTAGCGTTTAACTTAAGCATGCAACATCGCCTACCAATGGTATTGCTAAACATTGGTTATCAAACTACAGCTCGCGGTTATTAGCTACAATCAGGCCGGTCATCTCCTTTGGAAAATCATGATTGGCTAACGCTAGTAGCGCAGGCGCTAGCGCTGCTCACGTGCGTTCTTCACGCGCTGGCGTGCTCGGTCTTTCTCGTTTTCGCCCATTCGGCTTCTGTGAATCTCACTGCCGCTGCCGCCCCTTATTTTCCAAGATGGCGGACACTCCATTCAGTTTGTTCATTTTTGTCACGGTTAACATGTGTAGCAGTGGTCCACGTTTGAACAGTGTATATTTAAACTGCTGTACGTAAACCCGACAACGCTGCAGCGTTTAACGTTTTGTGAAGCTATCTCTGCTAAATAGTCTCTGGCGCGTCCATGGGGCTCATTTTGTCTATTAAATAAACGATTAGTCAATAATTCGAGTATTTGTGTGTGTAGGTGAATACGCAATGAGTCATTGGGTGAATCCAAAAAAACGTGTCGTGATTTTTAGCCAGAGCCTGCTGACCAGCTTGCTACCAGTGTTAGCCACCCTCTTCTCTCCAGCCCCGCGGAATTTGTTAAACAAAGCCGGTCATTGGAATGCTGAAAGTAAAATAAAAAAAAGTGCAACTACGGTACAAGTTTTCGGGAACATGGCATTGGACCTCTAAAGGCGGTAAATGTAATTAAATCGGCTGACCGGGCCCATACATGCTGCTAGCCGCCATGCTAACGCTATGTGAGCTAACGTTAGTAGAAATCCTTTGAGTTTCTCGTGTTTTCCTGAAGGAGTTTCTGTGCCATGACTGTGCACTTCTGGTGTTACAGGGCGACGCCTTTTGTTCTGTAGATCGGTTCAAATAATAAACCTTAAAAACATTACAATGCGGTCAAATGCCACTTTTTTTTTTTTTTTTTTTTTTTTTTTTTTTGTACAAGTAAGCAGTAGTGGTCTCAAAAATATAATAAACGTAGACATACATTTTTGTATCTGATTTTTCACCATTGTGTTTTTGGCAGCTGGACTGGATGGGCCTCTGAGATTTCAGGACTTGCCAGCTCTCGTATATTGGAGTCTGCTGTGTCTTTAAACAGACTGGACATCCTTTCTCACTAGTTGCAGTACTCTATTATCTACTGTTGTCACTACTCCTGACCACCTTGGCACATTTAGAATAAAAAAAACAGTATTGAATGCTAACCCCTTTTCTTGGAAAAATAGTAAAGTAGACTTGAAGGTCTTTTTTGTGTTTTGTAGATGAATGTTTTGTACATCTTGATAAAGGATTTAATCATTTAGATTTGTGTTGCTACTTGTGATGTTCTGGTGTAAATGTATACGCTTCATACATTTCACATTTAGCTGCTGCACTAGAAACTGGTCCAGCATTAGCACATGCTTTAATTCCTAGATTACAACAATTGCATGTAGTTGATACAAGGAGGGAAAGGTTAAATTTGACTAAATATTCATTCTGCTAGGATGTATGACTTCAAGGAAATCCTTAGATGGCCATCTGTAATGTAACCTCATTCAGTCCACGCAATGCTCTTTTTCTAAATTTGAATCCAACATGTACACTTAAATGCATATCTTTTCATAAGTGCATATTTTATGAGTGAGTTGTTGTGTTGTGAGAGTTAATGGTCAACGTCACTAAATAATTGTAGCCCTAGTATTTAAATGCCTAAAAACATGAATAACTGAGGAAAACAAGGATCTAAGAGGCAGAGTAATAAGCTATTTATTTGTATAGCGCTTCATCTCAAAAGGCTTCACAGTGCCCGCACTTTATGCAATAATTGAGAATTATGTTGGAGTATAATGACGGCCACAAAAAAGAACCACAAAAGACTTGAGTCTCTGTCTGCATTAATCATTTATAGAGTTGTACTTGACTTCTTGATTTTTGTGTCCCCCCCCCCCCCCCCAGCCTGAAGAAATTGACGTGTTAACAGGAAAGGACCGCATGGGATTCTTCACCACTGGGATAACCTTAGGCAATAAGAAGTGCTCTGTAATCAGAGACAGCATCCAAACTGACAGCGACTGGACAATGGACATCCGGACAAAGAGTCAAGGAGGAGAGCCAACATACAACATTTCTCTAGGCAAAGCCTCCAAAGGTGAGCGCCACATTCAGTGTTGGTTACAGTTTAGTAGTGCTGCAGTGACAGCGTAGCCTGCTTTGACATAGCGCCATTAGTTTAGCTACATTTATAAACTTGTCGTCCGTGCATGTGTGATAGATCTTGAATGCGCCTTTCCTCAATATATGACACCGGTGTTGAATGTATGTAACTCACAGGATGTTACCATTGGATGTCATTTTATTACAATGGGAAACTGCATCTCTGCTAAGTGTAATACTTTGATAGAGGTAAGGGGCAGATTCATATCAGAAGGGTGATGGTAAAATGGAAATTCCTTTTGAAGTATCAGTCTTCCATGCTAATTGTTGAGCTAATTATAGCAGTATTGCAGTGTAATATAATTTTTGTGTGTTTTGTTAGCGTAAGGAAGACTAGACAGCTTACAGATTAACTAATAACAATCCTAAATTATTGCGAACAAGTTTGTCATATGTTCCCCTCTTTGGTATCTATCTTGTATAAGTTCTCTAGAGAGATTTAATGTTTCTGGGCTCCTGACTTATTGATTAATTGAATAAATTATATTAGTCCAGACTTTCACTAAACTACCATGTGTTAACACGGGATAGATGCCTACATATTTCTTTTACAACAGAAAGCGTTCAATGTTCTGTCAAAATGGACATTTTGGAGGCGACGCGCTTTACATAAGAAACAATCAATACCTAAATTCTTACCTTTTTTCTTTATGGTACAAAGAGAAGTCGAGTTAAGTCTCTTTTTTTAGGAGTTTGCCTGAAAGTTGTGAGTTTTCATATTTCCTGTATGGGCCCCGATGCCCTGTCCTCCCCACTACTAAAACTTAAAGGTGAGACTGCAGCTGGTTCCTATTCTCCACACACTGGGCCAGGACTTCCTAAAAACTATCTTAAGTGCATGCATCTTCCTCTTTCCTGGTTAACACACTCTCTACCCTCAAGTTATGAATCTTCACCTGCTTCCACTCTATTCCTGGTGAAAGGCTTATTCAGGGCTCTAATGTGTATTGAGGAGAGGTACCATGAAGCATGTTGTGTCTGCATGGTTGTTGGTATCCAGTAGGACCTTCACTTTCCTAGTCTTTGCTGCTGGCATTGTGTGTGTTGATTACAAATGAAACTAAGACGAGTGCAATAAACTCAAAGTACAGACCGGGATTTGAACACCCAAGCTACTTAAAGCTGTCACACACCCAAACAACCTGGTTGCTTGTCTAAAGTGAGCAAGAAGCTGATTTAGCAAAACATTTGGATGAGTAAACTTAAATTTACCTCCTGACAGGTGTGCAAGCTTTGGCTGTGACTTGCTGTTGTAGATGTGTAGGAGTAATGTCACTCAATATATTGTCCAGCCCTAGTGTACATTTTATATTTACTTTAAGGAAAGAATACACTGAAGCACTCTATGTTGGATTCAGCCATTTTCAAAAAAATAATGGAACTCAATCTGACTATCTTAACATGAATTTGTGAAAGTTTGTGTAGCTGTAGCCCAACTCAGTCAATACTGATCCTTGCCGTGAGGCTAGTGCACAATGAGCTCCCTTCTAATCAATAGTTCATGATGTATCAAACATTGCTTTCATTCTAAAATGACACTTCAACTACAGCTCTGAGCCTCTGCTCATCCCAAGTGTAGAGACTGAAACAGCTTTGCATGCATCCTTTACATGTGTGCTCCCGCTGTACTTTCCCTCTTCCTAATTGTAATGTCTTGTTTCACCAGCAGCAAGGGTCTGAAACTGAATGTTTAGGCTCGATGCCGCCTTCAGCCCGAAGCTCCACTATGGTTTCTGTGCATCGTGCTGCTCTGTAGCCGTCTTTTCCGCCTGCTGCTTCTGGCTCTTCTCTTTTCACTGTGTGTTCTGTGCACCTTCTCTAAATGTCCCTTCTGTCTCTTTTCTTTCAGTCTTGGTCTTGGTAATGGGCAAAGAAGGGGTCCATGGAGGCGGATTGAATAAGAAGGCATTCTCAATGGCAAAATACTTGAGGGATTCAGGGTTCTAGTTTAGTTTTCACGTAGCTTATGTGGAGAGTTGAGGGAGAGGAAAAAAACAAAACTTTAGAAACAAATTACTGTCGAGCCCACGTTTCACCCAAACTGAGCATTTCTAACAAAGCGATGGTTTAGGCTCCGTTCTCAACCATGTAGCCCCACATTTAGCAGGGTGGCAATAACAAAGTATATTCTTTTCCAGTCCTGCTATCACCATGTCTGTTCATTTATTTTGTTTTTTTTCCTTGTGTACTCCAGCATTGGTTGTTGTCATGGGGAAGGAAGGTGTCCATGGAGGGAAGCTCAACAAGAAAGCATTTGATATGGCTGATTACCTGAGGAAGTCCGGATACTAAAGCAGCCTGTACCCAGCCACCTAACAGCTCACCCTTACCACCCTGTTGCATTTTACACTACTCCAGTCCTAGTTGGTAGCTTCATTTTTTTTTTTTCTGCCTTCTCTCCTCCCCCCTTTGTTCTCCCATATGTTCCCCTCTTCCTGTCCCCTCAGCACACCTGTGCTGTGTCCTCTTGAGCACTACAAGTTGATCCATAGCAAAGAGAATGTTGCTAACAGGATGTCATGACAAATCTGTACAGCTAAGAAAGATCTGGCAAAACATTCGAGACAATAAAAGCTTTACTGTCAATTTGAAGTAGATGATTTTTTTTCTTTCTCTCTGTCATGGTGCCCATTACTTAATCTCTCCCAAACCCGACCGTACACACTCCCCGAGCAGCCGACGACTTAAGCACTTGAGCGGTAACCAAGCTCATCGTGTCTTCCTGTTTAATTTCCACCATCGTGTGGAAGGGGAGACTGCGAATGTCGGTCCACTGTTTCCCCTCCCCCCCACACTCCCTCCTGCCAAAAACGACTGCATTTGTACAAACCATGCTGTGTTGACAACTACAAAACTGTGGAATAAATTGCCTTTTACTCTCTAGTCAGCTGAGCTCTGGGGTATCACACGGTCTGGCAGCACTGCTAACTGTAAAACCTTTCAAAAGTAGAAACGACACTCAATGGGATTGGTTGGAACAAAGACTCTTCTGGTTGTCTTGTTGAAGCTTAACTGCAGAACCTGTGTATCCTTGTGCCATAATCGAGATCTGTTGCTGTCCTAACATGGATCTTGTCCACTAAAGAATCCTTTCATTGGCACTTTTTTTTTTTTTTTTTTTTTTTTTTTTTTTTTTTTTTTTTTTTTTTTAGCTTCAGCTCCAATGTTTGGGCCTTGTGGGATCTGTGTACTCGCTACAAAATAAAGTTTCAAGTCCTGTTTATGTTCATTTCCTTTTCCGTCACTTTGTTTTTTTTTTTCTTTTATTTAATACATCTGATTTCATATGCATAAAACCAAGAAATGCCATAAATTGATTTATCACCTTGTTTACAGACAGATCAAATAAATTTATTCCAACCAGATAAAAGTTTGCTGTCTTTTATTATGTACAGGATTATTCTTTTTACATTACTTGCATTATGAGACGATGCCACGCTTGGCTTAATACAATGACAAACGGGGAGCCTGCTTGGCTGGCTCTGTCTGGAAGGTCAAAGTAAGTTTAAGCCTCATCGAATTAAGACCAAATGTTAGTCTAGAATTTAGTGCTGCATCATTAACCGGACCAGGACGGGCCTCTTTGTTCTGAGTTATTGTAAAGATGTTCATTAAGTTTCAACCTGAGGTCAACTCTTGAGCTGGTGTGCAGCTTTTGATATCAGATGGAGGTTTGAAACTCGACATGGATAAGATGTCATTGAAGTGTTGAACATCCAGGATGTCTCCTAAATGGACCATGGGGATGTTGTCTTAATATTTTGGGGTGTTTAATGCATTTTTATGAAATGGGTAATGTGAAATTAAATGCAACAAAGGTCCTCTGCAAACCTCCATCTTGAGAAAACCCGCTTGAGTTTCCAGTGTTTAACGGAGGAGTCGGTGACATCTGACGAGTGTAGCGGTGCCGTGCAAGACTTCAGTCGGGCCGATTGTATCAGATAATCGGCTCATTACTGAACATGGTGAACACTGCAGCTGTACATTTTGTGACAAATCTTCAGACAACACTGGGAACTAGTAGGACGAATGTTGGATTGTTCGCCATATTACAATATATTTTCTGTCAAACTGAGTAAATATGTCAACCATGAAAAGTTTCCTTGTCGAGTGTCATTTTCCTTTTATTGAAGTAAATTTGTATTGAACAGACGTACATGAGCAGGAAAACACTGACGAGACAAAATACATCAACTGAAAAAGGCAACAGGTTTCATGAACAAAAACAACCGATCAAGCCACATGACAAAGATTATACTATAAACTGCATTAAAATGGGAGATGGTCAGTTAAATGTGTATTACAAGGCCTATCCACAAATAACCGCTCGTGTTAAATGGAGTGATCGGTCTGAAGTTCGCCACAGGCAGCGTGGACATACTTTCCACTCGTGTCTCTCCACATCTTAAACAGAATGTGACGTCACAAGGAGAGCACATTCTTCACTGCAACAGATAAACCGTGGCACAAAGTGCAGGCTCCTTCACACACGACGCTAGAAATAAATTGGCAAAAAAACCATATTGCTGTGGCTTTAAATCTTTCTACACTTGCTGAATGTTTAATTGTTTTACAAAAAGGATGCTGCATAGCGCGTTCAAAGAGTGTCGGTGTAGCAGGAACATGTACAACAATGAAACTTTCCCCGTCGTGTGAAACATGTGGGTTAGGAGATAATCAAAGCTGTAACTTATTGTGATTTATACTTTTTATATACACTTTATAAATGAAGAAGCGTGATCTTGTGTGTCTGGGACTTTCCCGCTCATTTGTGCAAATCTTTTATATGAGTAAGTACAGTATAAAAGTCTACTGTACATCAGTGTCTGTCAGATCTACGGCATGCTCACTGACTCGCTGTCACAATCAGCCCTTTATCCGAAATCATGTAAAAAAAACAATTTAATATTTGTAACTGAACTTATAGGGCGGAGATAAATTACAATGTCTTGTAAGCAGTGACAGAAAAGACGAAACTGTTTCGTGACCCCCCAACAAAAGTCTCTGCAGGCGGAGAGGTTTGGGAGGGGAGGGGGGGGATTCGGTGACCAATCGGGTCGGCCGGATCAAGCCCGGGGCGGGACGTGCTCGAGGCCTTCGGAGCACGGCTGCTGCATCTGCACCACCACGGTCTCCACCGTCACCTCCTCCTCGCTGTCGCTGCTGTCCAGCTCGTCGTCCTCGTAGTCGGAGGACTCCTGGTCGGGCTCCGAGCGCGACGCCCCCGACATGGTGCCGAAGGAGTGGGCGCTGGTGGAGGCCAGGGAGCGCAGCAGGGGGGTGCTCTCCGACACCTCCTCGTTCTCGTCGGGGCCGCTCTCGCCCTCCTCGGAGTCCGAGTCCGAGTCGCCCTGCGAGGGGACCACCTTCTGCTTGCACACCGGACACGTCTTCTTGGTTTTGGTCAGCCAGGGGTCCACACACTTACTGTGGTACGCTGAGGACAACAAAGAAAGGGTTATTCACATTCTGAATAATGAGTCAATGAGTCAACATTTTACGGGTGTTGAGACTCACCGTGAGAACATGGCAGGACTCGGAGTTTGTCCCCTTCTTCATAATCGTCCAGGCAGATGGCGCACACATCATAGTTGTCCCCTGTGTCAAAAAAGACGAGACACATTCATCTTCTGACTGCTTTTATTATGTTCATCAATTCCTAGTACAAAAGTAATGTTTGTTCAAACATTGAAGAGGTATAATGTAAGGTGTGGCCGTCCTATGAGTGTGTTAATCCACTATGAACCATGCAGTTATGAAAAATAATGCATAAAATAGTTAGTTCGGGAAACTAGGTTTGTGAAATGGGGTGCGAGTGTTCGGCAATCAGGACCTCCCACTGCTTCATGAGTCTTTCATTTCCTTAAATTGTCTAAACGGAGTCACTTTCCCACATACAGGATGTCCCGACACCGCTACAATGCACAGCGCTGCATCTCTGGACGTTACAGGAGGTGCAGCATCATTTTTTTGGAGAACTAAAAGCTCAGGAATTTATCAACACACTCCCCTCTGACATTCCTCAGCGTTCTTCTCATTTTCCTTCCCTTCCTCTCGCCTGCCCGGGCTGTGGGTCCGTGTGTGTTTACGTAAGCTCTAAATGAGCATGTTTTCCCCGACTCGGCTCTCCGTGTTCGTGCCAGGGCTGCATGTGACCGTATAAGGATGGAGTCATATCGACCAGCCCCCCCTTCCTTTTCCCTCTGAGCGTCAGCAACTTCAACTCATGGCAGTGTTTTCAACTACCACTCCCTCTTCACACTTTTAGCTCCGTTTCTTCCTCTGCCTCTCCCTCACTCACCATCTCCACCGATCTTGTTATTACCCGAGACTTCTCTAAGCAAGCCTCCATTTTTCCCCCTCTCTTTCTCACCCTCCCAGGCCAGTGGAGGGGGGAGAGAGAGAGAGAGAGAGAGAAAGAGAGAGAATGTTTGTGCAGGCTTGGATCCAGTGTACACTCAGGAAATGCTGAGCTATTCTGAGTGAAGCAGAGAGAAAAGGTTCAGTGGCTTTCTGAACTCAGAACTTTGTTGTTTTTTTTTTTACAACCTGGGTCTCTTGTGGTTTGGTCCATTACAGTATTACGGTAATAACAACAACATCGTCTGGGTTAACTGGCCCAGGACTGTGTCGAGTGAGAGCCACGCAGCGTTCTGCAGCAGAACATAACTCACAGTGTCGTCCCTCCTCATTGAACACATTACAAGCTTCAGTAATGTCGTCCCTGTGACCCGCACACGTGAGTCTCACAGGTACAGTACGTGTGTGTCAAGAGCAGTGCTCGTTTTTAGAGAGAATAGAGCAAATATTAAAAACGTGTATAAATAAATACATGCTCAGCAGCAGCGAGACACCTGTGAAAGAACGGCTCAATAAAACCATTTCTACCAAAGTGTTTAAACGGTGATCAATACAAGTCTGTGTGTGGTTTCTCTGTGTTTTGAGTCAGATTTGAAGTTGGGTGGTCAAATTTATTTTTCAAGGCCAATCGAAAACTTCTCGATCATGTTTTTCAGATGCTGGGAATCCCTTACGTGAGCGTTTTTGGGGCATCTTTAATTACTCACCTCTCCTCCCCCACTATGTTTCATCAATCAGAGGAAACCACACTGTCCCACAGCTTCGGGTGAATTGGAAGAGAGGGTGACAGAATTTAAAAAAAAAAAAAGGCTTCTGCACAGTTCGTCGCTGGTTGAGCCAACCGGATGAGGGCAACTGGCACTGAGGCCAGTGAACTGAGAGACAGAGAGAGCTCCTCTGTACTGACATCAACATGCCTCACACACACAGACGGCTGAGACACTGCAGCTGCTCTGTTCACTGCTTGTGTGTGTGTGTGTGTGTGTGTGTGTGAGTGTGTGTGTGCGCGCTCAGCTCCCCGCCTATGGTTTGGAAGAGGAACGCGGCGTAGGGGAGGGATCAGACTGGAGTTCAGGGGTCAGAGGGAGAGTCCAGCCTCTCGGTCTAATGAAGGGTCTAAAACAACCCCCCTCGTTTTCCTCAGCCAGTTTGTGTGTGTGTGTGTGTGTGTGTGTGTGTTCACAATTTCTGGCTTTAACGGCTGCTAGACGCCGGTTGTTGTCGAAACTCACCACCCAGAGGGGCCAAAAATCACCGTCAGCCTAAGTGAGGATGACGCAAGGCTCTGCAATAAAAGCAGAGCGTACGTCAAGTTAATGGCGGAGCGGCGCTGTGCGCCGACAGCTGTGGCAGCTGGTGTTACATAACGCTGAACATTTAGACGGATCTCCCGTCGCATGCTGCTGCTCAGACCGGTATTGTGCGCGAATTACACGCGTACCATGGTTTCATTAAGGCATTGTGCAGCGTCCATAAAGACTGCCTTTGTGTGAGCCACTATTCACTGCAGCCTGTGAAGTCTATTTCCATACATGCAGGTCTGACATTATCACCACCTCTGGCCCAAATCTGCATGAGAACTGTGGAGGTAAATATCAATGGTTGAACTTGAATACATGCTCAACAGCAGTAGCAATAAAGATTTGAAAAGGATGTAAACAAAAAAACAGCTCAATAAGAGCACGACTGACGAAGTGTTTGCCTCTGAAACAAACCAATGGAATCCGAATATTAGATTGTAAAAAGCGGTCTCCGTTTTAGGCTGCTTACTGGTTTCTGACGGGAAGTTGTGACTCGTAGCATTTGGGTTTAACAACTGCAGAAAAGTGAAATAACCTATTGAGATTTTCTATTTTCTATTTCAAGAGACAAGTGGCCGCTATAGAAACTGCAGCGTCAGACATTCGCACAATGGCTTCAACATGTAAAGTTGCTTTGAAAGCCACACTAACATCACAGTGCTCCTGTAGTACTCCCAGAGACCTGTAAACAGACTTTGATGTTCATGATGGTCTTTTAATAAAGACATTTTCAATAATTGCAGACTTGTAACACCCACAGAGCAAGCTCCTATGACACCCTCATGCTCTCTGATCGTGAGTCAGCTAGTGAGCCTTTATAAAAAAAGAAATACTTCCGAGCAGTTAAAACCGTGGTTATTGAGTAAAAACCTTTTTGGTGACGAGTACATCAACCATTATCCAGGTGTTGAGCTCATTTCCATGACAGTACATTGACAGAAAAGGAAGTCGTTTCTATTATCAGCGGTCCGACAATAAACCGCATTGGAACGCAGTTTCCCAATGCTCTCAGGCCCTCCCCACGCTCACAGCCAGGACACTTTGCCAAGCTAGCCTTTGCTCCAGAGTGCCCGGCCTTAAAATGTGCTTAGGTAGAGATTTGGTGTCCCCTTCCTGTGCTCTGACTCAGCTGACAGGAGTGCAGAAGCCGCCCCTGGAGGCCCTTTCCTGGACATCCTACCTCCCTGTAGCGGTGCCTGGTGGAAACCCTGAGTCAGAGTGGGCATAAAAAAAAAAAACCCACAGAGCCTGACGTGACAAGAACAGCTATATGAGCAACACATGCTGCTTTTAGCTGGTGTGTCGCACGTGCATCCGTTTTTCTGCCAAGGCCGGGGGGGTGGAACAGCAGCTCGACTCATAGCGCCCTCCATTAACAGCTTTGCGAGGGGGGGCGCTACTTATCATGCACCAGCCTCGTCTCCAAAGCTCCTCGGTGTTCCCCAGCACAGCTGATTGAAGCCAGGAGTTTTCCAGTTTGCAAAAAAAAAAAAAAAAAATCGTACTTGGCCGTAGCACAAAGTGGATTTGCATTGCAAAACAATGCTATAGCCTCTGTGTCACGCAAAGATCTAGTGCTCCACCGTCCTCACAAACCAGCAGCACAACACGTCTGAGATAAAAAACAACTAAATACACTTCTACACTTCACTTCATAAACCCCCGTCATGCCTCTGGCATGAGACTACATTCCAGACCGTCAGTCACGTGTCCAGTCACAACAGAGAGGAGCTCTAATCTGCCACGGAGGGCTTTGTGGAAAAATCAAGTCCATATTAATCCGATTAGCTCCGGGGAGGAGTGATGTGTCGTAATGCATTGATGACATCGCTCCTCTGGGCTTAAACATGTGACAAAGAGCGGCACGGTACAGGAGGACGTAGCATCTCTACGGTTCATAGTTCAGAGTGAGTGTGTACTGTAAATGACTTAGAGATGGAGATGATACAGTCACAGGTACTTGAGGTGTCTGAGATGGCCTCCATACCTTTCTTGTACTTGTGGATGGGAAGTTTCTTGAGCTGATCTTTACGCAGGCGGCTCCTCCGAGCCCTGTGTCGGTCCTGGACAAACTTGGTGATCTAGGAATGGCGGAAGAAAGAAAGATGTCAGAATGCTTTTAAGATCAGTGCGTTTAAAACACACACACACACACACGCACACACACACACACACACACACACACACACACACTTTCTTGTCCAGGTGCTGAGTCCAAAAAACTGTAACTGTGATTTCTGTCACATTAGGAGAAGTGTGATGTTTTGAGCTAGATGCCAGTTTGGTACCTGACGAAGGACCAATCTCAAAACTGAAAATGTTGTACTTTTCCTACTGTAATGGAGTAGACATTTTAAAAAGGAATGGTTAACAGTGTTGCGAGGACTCAGGAGGCAAAACTCCTTTAGAATACCAGCCGGTAAAATTAAAATCACTGCCTTTAAATGTGCAGCGAAGTTCATCAGGAGAATGTACTTTGCGACAAAGATCTACCTACCATGAAAACAACGATGAGGATGAGGCAGATTCCCACGATGATGAGGAAGGGGATCAGGTAGTATTCCAGCGGCAGGCTGAAGTCTGGCATGAGGACCACGTGGCCCCTAGGAGAACAAGCAGAGCCACGGTCAGGTGTTGACAGGTAACACAGACACTCTGAGCGAGGCCCCCACAGACGCTGTGTGGAGGTTTCATCACGGCCATTGCATTGTTCAAAAACTGCGGCGTGAACGGTCACACACACACACGGGGCCCTCTATCAACGTAGTGACATTTCACACGATGAGTTACTGGGGGGACTACTTCTTCTCACAGAACTGCCTCTACAGCAGACATATCACTGCACGACCAACTCGGTCCACACTGACAGAACGCTGCCAAGACCATGTTTGGTGTTCATTCCTCTGCAGAAGTCTTGGGAATAACCCTCAGTGTTTGGATGGTATCTGACAAGCACCACACACACACACACACACACACACAAACACACACACACACACACAAGCACACAGCTGATTTAAATCTTAAATGCTGTGTGACTCTCTGGGCTCCTCTGACAGGCTGAGACATTTCATTACCACATCAGCAGCAGCGACAACTACTCATCACAAGACGAATCCTCCGCCTTGCTCTGGTACAGTCCACGCTGCATTACTCTACAACAATATGACATTCAGCTGGTCTGGAAGAAGCTGCGCAGAGAACAGACCTGCTTCTATTTATTTATTTATATATATATATATATATAATGATGATGATGATGGGAAATGTGTTGAGACTTACCCTTTGTCGTACGTGAAGTCTTCTTTCAGAGAGTTGGCGGTTTGTTCGCTCACAAACACCGAGGGAATACCTATCTGCTTCATAATATCGACTGAAAAGGGAAACATAAAACATTTAATATATCTTATGACTGTATATTAATGCCTAAATCCTCTGAACGATCTTGAAACGTGCTCTTGAGGCCGGTGTTCAAAATCAAAGACACTGAGAAACTTATTTAAATGTGTCAGGATTTGACAAAAAAAGTTAACTCGAGGAACACTTACTTCCTCTCTCTGGAGGTTTAACTACATTAAACAGTCTTCATCAACTGATGGAGTTTGCTTAAAGTTCTTCAACGCATGATGAAGCTCGTGAGAAGCGGCTGAACTACAGCTGCAATGATTAGTCAATAATCATTTTGGTTGATTGCCAGAGAATCATTTAGTCATTATTTAGCAAAAAAAAACAATACCCCAAAACTCACTGGTTCCTGCTTCTCAAACCTTGTTTCATTGAAAATAACATGTGTTTTTGACTGTTGGTCAGTCAAAGCAAGCAATGGCTGATGATGGGCAAATGTCATTTGCAGATTCATTGATAAAAAAATGGAAGTAGTAACACATTTGAGCCTGTTAAAAAATGTCTGTTTGACCGTCCGACTTCGGTTGACGCATACCGACACCTTCAGTGAGCCGAAGAAGCGACAGGAGAAATCCCTCGACTGACTGGCTTCCCCCAGTGACATAAACCATCAGCTTGTGACATCCACTCATCTAGAGAAGCACTTAATCAGGACGAGAAGCCTTCATGGGTAGTTTATGACTGTGCTGCAACCCCCTCGAGTGAGAATATATGCGATACCTCTACTGAGAGAAAACCCCGGACACAACATGGATTCATGGGCAGGGCATCGTATACATCTTGAGACTTGAAATAAACTTCTCAGCATAAAACTGCCTGACCTTTCTCCTCAGGCTCAGGGTTTAAGAGAACAACAAAGCACATCCTCTGTCAACAGAGGCCCGTAACCAGGCGGCAATGTGCGATGCTAAATGCTTAAGTGCTACAGAGGAGAAAATAAAATGTGGTTACTTACGATCATTAGATCCCATGCTGATTAAGTCATCAGAGACCACATTGTGAACAATGGCGGCCTTGTATCCGGCTTTCTGAGCATTGAGGACCTGCGAGGAGACAAAAAACATTTGCATTCCGATTATTAAATGGCTATTAGTTGGCTAGCCTCAGCTGCTGCTAGGCTAAAGACTAACAAACAGCCTTAGGTGAAGGTGGGATGTGAGAGAACCGGGGTTCTGTCTCAGATAATGTGACCAGATCTGATTTCCAGCAGCACCAAACCACATTCGACACGACTAGAGGCGTGGACGACTCTGCATCGAGGCAGTGACGGAACATAGTCGGGAGTTTGGTTTTATTTCCACCAATATCAGCTGCTGTGTTTCAACAATGTTGGGCTGAGAGAAAGCCGAGGGTGCGATACATTGAGATGCACCGAGAATCGTTGCGCATTGGAGTCGACGACGGGTGGGTCGTCATAGAATGGTTTCATACCTCTTCATAGCTCTGATAGAAACCCGCTGTGGTTAGGAGGGAGCGCTCTCTCTTATTCTGCTTCGAGGCTTTTAGCGATGGTTCACATGCACCAGTCATCGTCCAATCTGAAAGGTACGATCCATTCTCTCACGTCGGCTTTACAAATGTACCACTTCCAGTTTGATTATGCTCTCTACTGCCCATATGACCCGAATGTATGATCTGGCTTTCCCAAAAGGAGAATGAATAGTGCAGTCTAAGGGGACAGCGGAGACCACAGTTAATAGGAGCTCTGTGGCTTCACGGTAGCATTCGACAACATGTTTACGGACCGTTTTTCCCAGAAAGTGTTTGTAGGAGACAAGATGTTTGCATTTCACGCCCCCCGACAGCTCGCTCCTCCATGATAAACACCGACTGCTCATCGAAGCAGGGCGAGCTGTAACCAAAACAGGAAGTGTTCGGTTACAGGACGGAAGCAGCGGCCCAAAGAAAGCTGGAGTGGCAGAGTGGGCTGAAGGTTAGAAGAGAAAGTACGACAAATGCAGAGATACAGCACACTGATTTTGCTCAATTCGATTTTATCTTGGCCGCCTCTTCTTGCTATTAATGTGCCGCACTTTATTTCATATAGGTGGTTGTATATATATTTCATAGAGGTCACAGGTTTTGATCCCGACAAACAGCATTGTGCCCTGGAGCAAAGCACCCGAGGCCAGACCTGCTCACTCGTGACGAGCTCCGACTATCTGTTCACAATAATTTCAGGCAAAACTTGTTACCCACATGCAAACCAAAGAGCGAGCTCAATGGCAACGCAAACACAATACAAACAGAACAAGACTGAAAGCTGTTCAACGTACACACTGATTGACAGGTCCTCTTATACAAGCATAAAGAAACACACTAGACAACTACGAACTCACAAATGTCTGCAAACAAAATAATGTTCTCATTACTCATCAACATTTTAAACATTACAATTCAGTTTGTTTTTATATATATATATATATATTTGTATATATATATATATATATATATATATATATATATATATATGTTTATATGTTCATATGTATATATGTTTTGGCACTTTCTTCTGTTCAGTTAGCCAGTATTTATCACAAGAAGGCTGCTAAGACAGTAATCACTCCTCCAGTTTGGCAAAAAGTGTAGACGTGTATATCTGTGCATGCTTGTGTGTGTGTGTGTGTGTTAAATGCGTTTAAACTGTTGCATAAACATGCCACCATGTCTACGCTCTCATTAATCATAGACGTGTTCTCTGTAGAAGTTAAGCCTCTCACTGCCGCATTATAACAGATGCTTCAGCGTTCAGTGTAACCTGTTCACAGTGTATGTGTGTGTGTGCACAGCTGTCATCCTCGAAACGGAAATTTATTTTTTATATCTGTCAACACCTATATATTAAAATTCACAAAATTGGTTCGGAAAAACATTGTCAGTGGTTTTTTTTTTTCTCTCGACTAGAAGCTCAGAAACATCATCCGAATGTTACATAACTCGATAGCTTGCAAAATCAATTCAGAAAGAATGCTGCGTTGTAAATGTGATTGTGATTACATAACTGTAATGAGACGCAAGTTGCACCAGAAAAAAACAGTCAAACAAAGTTTAAAAAATCCTTTAAAAACCACAGCACAGTCGTGCTTCCAGAAAAAGGTCACGCTGAAGACACTAAAAAGGGTTCAAACCGGGATGGCTCCCGCAGCAGAGGCCAGAGGGCCGTGTGTGCTGCATCGTGGATGCAAAGGAAACTGATGGAATGAGGCTCTTCCATCTGCGGAGCTGTTGTTGTGGCTCTGACACAGTAGAGAGCCCACAGTATCCTGTACCACCATTGTTGAGGCTGATCGCTCACAACAGATGCGGTGGAGGAAATAGGATGTGACGATATAACACCGGAATAAATCATTATGTGTTCTTACACAGACAGAGACAGACTTTGGATGGGGAAGGTTTCCTCTAAAATTGAGGGAGGGGGGAGGGGGGCAATTTGCATCCGATCACGGAAATGTCACTCTGACGCATTCAAAATAACGGTGATGCTGCAGTACCAGAAACAATACTTCTATCAGCGAAAACCATATTCTAATGTCTCCTAATATTATTCAAAATCATAAAGAATTAATGGATTTAGTTTGTTTATGATACACACAACATGAAAACTCTGCCCTAAAACCTAAACACAAAAGCTCACCTTTCTGCTATATTTTTATTTTATCTTAGACTATATTTCAAGATTTGATAATCAGACTCAACTGCCATTTTTTGACATCATAATTCAGTCTCACATTGGGTTCATGTTGGTCACTAAATTGGCTCCTATTTTAGTAGTTTCCTGACGTTCTTCGGTCCCTATTCTGCTGTCTCTTTACAGGACGATGACCTCGCAACCCATTCTTAAAACCACCTAGAAAAGCTCCGACTGCCATGTTTGTTCCTCCGACCAGGGAACCCTCTGGAATGAGCACAAGACAAGCCCTCTTTGAATCGCTGGAAGAGAAGCGGACAGTGTTTCAGATGTCTATAATAAGGCTGCAAGACCAAATCAAATGACGGGAATATGAAACATCAGATTTGGGCTCTCACAATCAAAGAGCAATGGAGTCTTTTTAGAGCTGCCATTCGGTTGCCATTTCTATAAAAATGTAGCAAATTATTGCTGAAAAAGAAGTGAGAAAGGCCGTCTGAGGTATTGTTGACACACACACCAAAACATAACATCAAACCGGAAAACACTATAGATTACATTACAGATTAATAGTGTTTAAAAGTAAAAAGAATCTATGATTCTCTTCCTTTTAAACCACTGCTGCCTGAAGCCACAGAGGAACTGGGGATGTTAATTATTACTCAGAGCACGTGCGACCCTCCCGTGGTAAATTAACACCTGACCCAAAACCAGACTGTGTGTGTGTGTGAGTGTGAGTGTGAGTGAGAGACAGAGACCAAGTAAAGATAATCAGATGAGCATGGGTCAAGATATGAAAGTCGTTTGCTCCGTTAAATAATAGAACGAGGTCCCTCACACTGACCTGAGCTACCAGTGGGTGTGTGAGTGCAGTGTGTGAGCCCTGCAGCTCGGCCAGGCCTCTCTGTACCAGCATTGTACTCTGTCGTGAAGCAAGGAAATCCATTTAGACCTGTGAGGGGTGAACCGTGTGTGTGTGTGTGTCGTGGCCTGCGTGGATGCTTATACAGGACAGCGCTGTCTTTTGTCCGCTCCCTGTCACTGTAATTGTATGCACAGGCATACGTGAAGCAGTGCGTATGGCAGCCGCAGCATTGTGTTCCCATGTGTTGTCTTGTGAGGGCGTATTGTGAAGGAGGTATCAATGGCTACTGTGTGCGTCTCGAGGCAGGCGGTCTGGATACGTGACACAAACAAAAAAACACCGGGTCTGGATGTGTGTGTATGTTTTTTAAGAAAGGAAAGTCAGCTAGGTGAAGGGGGGAGGGGGGTTGTGTCTGTGGTTGTAATGCTGTGTTCACACTATGAGCGACAACGCTGAGTCATCGTTGACGTGTCGCTCAAGCGCTCGTTGCCGTGGTTGTGTCGATAAATAGCACGGGGGACTAGCTGAAGGGCAATAATCAGTTAAAGGGTGCAGATGATACTAATAACAGTGGGGGGAGGGGGGGGGGGACCATGACCTTAACATCATGATATTATATCCAGCTGTGATTGTAAAACTCATCTCAGCCAGATGTTTAACTGATCGCTTTCATCTCCTTTCCTCTCATATTCCGGCCTGATGGTGACTGATCATCGTCGCCTGAACCGAGTCAAATGGATCCGGACACTCGTCATCTTGTGGTCGGTATAGTTAGTAGATGGCTGCGTATCAGCCCATGAGGCCTTTGTTGTGCGATGAGGGAGACAAGAAATACGATCCATGAAGTCAAATTAGAGTAACGGATGAATCCGTTAAAAGTGTCATCAGGACGAGAACACGACACAATGGTTTGTAATTCTCACACCGAGATTTCGCAACTCTAGACAATAATGAAGGCGGCAATTATTTTGATCTTTCGTCGAAACGATTTGCAAAGTCAACAGTTCAAATATGGCGGATTTAAATAGGCTGGTTCTGAATGCAGTTTTGAAGGAGGAGGAAGTAATGGAAACACTACTGTATTAACCTGAATGTGGTACGTGCCTGTAGTGTCATTTGCATCATGTTACGCCTCAACGTGTTAGTCTGCCAGTTTGTTGGAAATCAGATCATGCAAATAAGAAACTACGGTAGCAACTGCCACAAGCCAAATGTTAGCCAGCTGTGGCTAATTTGAGAAGCAGTATCTCTGGAAGGTCTGCTCCCCCCTGCTGCTGGTTTTCACAGTAAACGTAAAAAAGCCATTTTGTCTGAAGGTTGTCTAGATGCCAGTGTGTGGTCTGCGGCCTGTCTGCCTGGGATCTGCGGAGGAATTCAACCTCTGCTGCTGGTTCACCCTTGTGTTAACATGGGGCAAAGATAAGGACATTCGATGCATTCCTGAGACGGAGGAGAGGGAGAGAAAAAATAAACAGACAGAGAGGCAGAAAAAAGGGAGAGGGAGAAAGGGAACATAAGACGTGAAACCTCCGGAAAAACTAAAAAAAAAA